AAATACAAAATGAAAAAAAAAAAAGAAAACATTCAACAAATGATGCTGATATAACTGGCTGTCAACATGTAAAAGAATGCAAATAGACTCAAGTCCAAATGGATCAAAGACCTCAACATAAATCCATCCTCACTAAACCTCATAGAAGAGGAATGCACAGGCACAGGAGACCACTTCCTAAATAGAACACCGGTAGCACAGATTCTGAGAGCAACAATTAATAAATGGGACTGCCTGAGACTTTGAAACTTCTGTAAAGCAAAGAACACAGTCAACAAGACAAAACAACTCCCTACAGAATGGGAAAAGATCTTCACCAACCCCACATCTTAAAGAGGGCTGATCTCCAAAATATACAAACAACTGAAGAAACTAGACATCAAACTTTCAAATAATCCAATTTAAAAATGAGGTACAGATCTAAACAGAGAATTCTCAACAGAACAGTCTCAAATGATGGAAAGACACTTAAGGAAATGCTCAACATCCTTAGACATCAGGGAAATGTAAATTAAAACTACTCTGAGATTCCATCTTACACCAATCAGAATAACTAAGATCAAAAACACCAATGATTGCTTATGCTGGAGAGGATGTGGAGAAAGGGGAACACTCCTCCATTGCTGGTGTGAGTGCAAACTTGTGCAGCTACTGTGGAAATCAGTATGGCACTTTCTCATAAAACTAGGGATCAACCTACCCCAAGACCCTGAAATACGACTGTTGGGCATATACCCAAAGGAGGCACACTGACACCACAAGGACATTTGCTCAATTATGTTCATAGGAACTGAAGAATGAATAAAGAAAGTATGGTATATTTATACGATGGAGTACTACTCAGAGGTAAGAAACAATGACATCCTAAAATTCATGGGCAAATGGACAGAACTAGGGGAAGAAATCCCAAGTGAGGTAACCCAAAACCAGAAAGACAAATATAGTATGTACTCACTCATAAGTGGATACCAGACATAAAGCACAAGATACCCAGCCTACAATTCACACCCCCAGAGAAGCTAGAACCCTCTTCCAGAAACAGATGGAAGCAGATGCAGAAATCTACAACTAACCAATGGGCCAAGCTCCTGGAGTACAATCAAAGTGAGGAAGGAACGATAACATAAACAAAGGAGTCAAGACCAAGATAGGGAAACCCACAGGAACAGCTGATGCAAGCTAGTGAGAGATCACTGACTCAGGTCTGACAATGGGGAACCTGCATAAGACTGAACTAGACTCCCTTAATATAGGTGACAATGGTGTGACTGGGACAATGTATGAGGCCACTGGCAATGGGACCAAGATCTAACTGTAATGCACAAAATGACTTAGTGGAGCCCATTCTATATAGATACCTTGCCCAGCCTAGACACATGGGTGTAGGGCTAGATTTGCGCCTTGGTCCTGCCTCAACAAGATGAGGGGACAGACTTAGTAGACTTCCTAGGGGAGACCTTACCCTCTCTGAGGAGCAAATGGGAGGAGAGGGGAGCAGGAGGAGAGGAGGGTGGGAGAACTGGGATTGGAATGTAAAAAAATCATAAAAGAAAAAAAAAACAGATAGCACCAATGGTCAGTCTCCATGTATTCATCTAGTCATGGTTCCAGAAGGAAGAGTACAAACTGAAGAGCTGTCCAGGAGGAATTCTGCAAGGAATTGGTCTACATGGAAATCAACGGAAGACACGAGCAGTAAACCATGTGAATACCAGGGAAACAAACTTAGTGGCAATGAAAAAGGCATGTCATTGCATAAGGAAAAGCTGAAATTCTAGAAAGTCTGTGGTTTCTATTCAAAACTGTTAAATTAGGAAATGAATAGCACAGACACCCTGCAGGATACTGAACACTGGCACATTATCTACTAAGTCTCTCAGCCTCATGCCATTCCCATCATTTGTTGTAGCAACCGCCATATATTGTAGGATGCTAGCAGCTTCCTGACTTCTGATCCTAGCCAGCAAGAACACTGCTGTCATGATAAAAAATAAGTCTCTAGATTGTGCCAGATGTTGCCTAGAAGGAACAAAATTGCTGTCTGTTGAGAAGCCCTGATCTAAGAGCCTTGGATACCACTCAGCTCTCCAAACAGTGCCCATGATTTTCTTTGCTAGAATAACTTTTAAAGGGCAATACCAGAGTGACTCTCTGCATATGAAACAGGAACACTTTCCAACTCTTCATTTGCTGTTTTCCTTCAGAGCATTAAAATGCAGTAGATGCATTCTCCAGGTGTCCTGGAAATTTTGCTGAGATCTCAAAGCTGAGGACACTACTTATCATCTACATATTGCAGGGATGCCAAATCCAATGCAAGGCTGAGTGGCAACCGCTAAACCCTCCCTTCCATGTGTCACTCCAACAGAATGCAAGGGAAGAGGAGATGACTACATAATTTGGAATAAGAATTTTCTAGAAATAAGTAACACCTTATGTATTTCCTTTCCACTTAAAACAAGTAAGCAGGGTACAAGAGCACAGGCCCTGGAGTTTGTAGAGACTACTCTCTAAAACCAAGGCTTAAAAAAAAAAAAGGAAGGAAGGGAGAGAGAGAGGAAGGAAGGAAATAAGGGAGGGAGGGAGGAAGTAAGGGAGGGAGAGTGAGAGGGAGGGAGGAAGAGGCCTCAAGTAAATCATCAAGAGATGTTTCTAGAAGCCTTATTCATAATGGCCAAATCTTGGAAGCAAGATGTCTTTGAATAGGTAATAGGTTTAAAATATCCAGAAGATGAGCCCCTTCTGGGTTGGGAATTTAGCTCAATGGTAGAGTACTTGCCTAGCAAGTACAAGGCCCTGGGTTCAGTCCTCAGCTCTGAGGGAAAAAGAGAGAAAAGAAGTGAGTTTTTTCAAGCCATGGAAAGCAGGAGAAGCATTATCGAATATTTTTGAGTAAAAGACATGGATCTGGAAGGGCTGTGTAGTGAGATTTCCCAATCATGTGATGTTCTAAGAAAGACAGTTGTTGGAGACAGTAAAAAGATCAGTGGTGACTAAAGATTTGTGAGGCATGACATACAAGAAGGTCGAGTACAGAGCACTGGGAGCCAAAGAGATCTATTTGGGGAGTGGGTGACATCACACACATTTGTAGAAGACACCACCAGAGGTCTGTACAGTCCTCCAGACCTCTATAGTTAGCTAGTGGCAAGCTCCATTCTCTGAACCCCAGACAGGCTTTATTTGTGCAAGAAAGATATCACCAACCTCAGTGCAGGCTCATCATTCATAGCAAATGTTCCACTGTGAGGTGAGGAGCTTGATAGAGGGGAAAGCATGTGAGGGACCAGGACGAACATGAGAACTCTCTATACCATCTAGTCAATTTATTGTGAGACTAAAATGGCTCTGGAAAAAAAAAGTCTGTTTTTAAAAATAGGGGAGATTGATAGGTAAGGTGTGATATAAAGACTGATATAAACTGTCTGGGACTGAATGAAAAGAGAGCCCCTGTTGTGTAGGACTATCCTCTGGCCAAACTGTAACCATCTTCAGGAATCCAGTTAGGCCTGCACTCCAAAGACTGTCCCATCTGGGCTTGCTCACTGCTGCTGTTCTTTTTGGAAGGAAGGGCAGGGGGCCTCACCTCTGTATCCAGCTGTCCCTCCAACCAAGGTGTGTGTAATTCTCTGCTAATTGCACACGGCTCCAGAGTCCCAGGGAGAGACTAGAATAGCAGTTCTTAATGTGTGGATAGTGGCCCCCTTTGGGGATTTTATATCAGATATTTACATTACAATTCATAACAGTAGAAAAATTATACTTATGAAGTAGCAACAAAATAATGCTATAGTTGGGGTCACTACAACATGAGGAAGTGTATTAAAGGGTTGAGAACCACTGGGTTAGAAGATAGACATGGGGAAAGATGGGGAAGCCTTCATCCCTGCTGGGTACAGAGCTTCTAGTGTGGCTGTCTTAAGGTCACCCATGCTCCACCTGTAGCCCATCACCCATTACTCTGTAGGTAAGCCTGATATATTCATTGCTGTCCCTGAATGTGCTTTGATTGAGTCATACCTCTCTTTGTTGTTGGGGCCTTCGGAGGAAGTAGATATTATTCATGTCACTCTCCAAGGGAAGGAATTTTAGCAGCGCCCCCTAAAGGCTATGATCTGCACTGTTAAAGTCTCTTGGAATAAAAATCTCAAGTGTTCTGGTTGGAAAATTGCAAACCTGGAAATGAACCAGGCTTGACTCACTTGAAAGTTGCCTGTCCAAGAAGATGGTCTACAGAATGAGCATGTGGTTAACAGAGGAGCCTGAGAGAGCACAACTTCTGATGAGGGACAAGTGGTAAAGCCTAGGAGTCAGGAGGAAGTGCAGGGTGGAGGGGCCAGGAAATGGTACAGTGGAGGATGCTAATATCAAATGTGTCTCTAGAAAACCCTCCACTACCCCACTCGAGAGAGCATCATCTGGGTGAAATTACTTTCTGTACCTGTCAAGAGATATTTTTCTACTCTGATCTAGGACAGGAGGCAAAAAATTCCACCCACTGGCACAAGGGAAATGACAAGACAGACTGCCTGTGTTAGTTACTTGGCTCACTATTGTTACAAAATATGGGACCAAAGTAACTCAGAGGTTTCCTTTTTAAGCTGTTGGAGGCTACAGTCCCTCATGGTGAGGAAGGCAGAGCAGCAGGAGCTTGAGGCGGCTGGTCACATTGCATCTGCAATCAGGAAGCAGTGAGAGATGAACAATCTGCTTAGCTTGCTTGCCCCTTCTAAATCAGTCTAGGACTTAATCCCAGGGAGTGGTACAACCCACATCTAGAACGGTTTCCCACCTCATCCCTATAATCCCTCACAGGCCAGCCCACAGGTTTCTTTTCAGTGATTCTAGGTCTGTCAAGTTTACCATCAGGATTAGTCAACATAATGCTGTAGCCAGGACCATGGGGTTAGAGTAAATCAGGTGTCAGAGAACAAGAGGTAAAAAGGAATACACCCTGCTGTTGGCTAACCATGACCCATCTGTGCCTTCTGATCCTGCAGGCTTAGCCTTCGCAATGCTGGCAGCTGTACCTCCAGTGTTTGGCCTATACTCTTCATTTTACCCTGTTATCATGTACTGTTTCTTTGGAACCTCCAGACACATATCTATAGGTAAAAACTTATATTTGACAACCTAAAACTTTTTCCTAAGCTTTTCAATATGTTTGTTATTTCTGCTTAGTAAAACTTGTGTGACTGCATACCATTTTTTGCTTTAAAAATGCTACTGCACCCTAATACATCAGTAGCTGAGCACAGACCCAGCCGTGTGAAACCCTGGATTCATTCCCCAGCAGCGGAAAAGCATATGTCTTCTCCTCCTCCTTATTCTTCTTCTTCCTCTTCTCCTTCTTCTTCCTCCTCCTCCTCTTCCTCTTCTTCTTTTTCCTCTTCTTATTCCTCCTCCCCCTTCTCCAAGATTTCTAAAATTAATAGCTTTCTTATAATCTTGGGTTAATTAGATGGGCAATTTTTCTTGCATAAAAGCATGATTGTTTAAAACTGTAAAATGAGATTAATGCTTTATTTCCCAATATACTTTGCTTGTGTCTGGTTTTTCTCCTTATTTATTTTAGTAGTGATGCTCAGGGCTCCTAATCACCTTGCATGCATCTGCATCTGCATCTTCATCATACTCTAAGCTCTGAATTATACATGTTCTCTCTTCAGTGCATTTAGGAACAGATGCATGGAATTTAATTACAATGCTAGAGCTTTGTAAGGCTGCCAGCTGCAAACAAACTCACACAGTGTTTCAGATATCTATTGCTCAGTAACAAATGCCACCCAACTTAGAAGCTTACATTGTATATAACTTTAAAAATAAATTTAAAAATAAATAAATAGGATCCCTGAAAAACAATCATTTTACTCTCTCCCAGTCCTGGGAAGTCAGCATCTTAGGAAGAATCACCTCTCTTCCTACGTCCTCCTTTCTTCCCCTGTCCCCCCTTCATCTCTTGTCCATGTGGTCTCAGAACTTGTCCGCATGGCCTTGCTGGAGCTTCCTCACACAAGGTGACCCAGGCTCCAGCAGAAATTTGGAAGCCCTTGAGCTGGTAAGATGGCTCAGCTGGTGAAGGAGTCCATCTCCAAGACTGATGACCCGAGTTCAATCCCTGTGCCACACCAGAAGGAAAGAACTGACTCCCATAAATTGTCCTGTGATTACCTCAGTGAGCTATGAGGTAACATGCCCACCTCTTTCTACCACATGTGTGATGTGTGTGTGAGGGAGCGCGCGCGCACGTGTGTGTGTGTGTGTGTGTGTGTGTGTGTGTGTGTGTGTGTGTGTGTGTGAATGCACATGTATGCATGTCCACGTACATGTGGAAGCCAGAGGTGAATGGCAGGTGTCTTCTACTATTACACTTTACCTCATGTTTGAGGCAAAGCCTCTCACTGAACCCAGAGTTCACTGCTTGACGAGACTGACAAGTGAGCTGTAAAGATGCACTCCTCTATACCACCTCCTCCCTCAGCATTAGACTTAGACATGCACTGCCACACCAGATGTTATGTGGGCACTAACAGATCCTAAGTCAGGTCCTCAAGCTGACAGAGTAGGCACTTCACGGACAGAGCTGTTCCCCAGCCCTGCAGCATTGCTGTGGAGGTCTCCACAAACACCATAGCTAAGAAACTATCCATGTGAGGTGAGAAGGAAATCCAGTTCAGCATGGCTTAGTTAGCTGGTACTGTTTCAAATTTCTAAAGTCTAATGCCAGGAAGTTTATTTCAGACACATTTAAGTATAGTACAATTTTGGTAACAACTATCTTAATCCCATGTGCACAATGAAGCTTAAGGCATGACTATATCCAAACTCCTTTGCAAAGTACTTGTGGTCTCTACCATGAAGATGGATTTTATAGCTTAAGGGCCTAGGTTCTGGTGTGTTCTCAGTCATATGGATAGCATAGACATCACCAGGCTTCAAAGTATATGTAACATCTCCTCTAACTTTTGATTGGAAACAATGCTAAAGATAAAGGTCTCTAGGAGAAGAATTTGGGATAAACATAATAGTCTGGGAGATTCAGGTGTGAACTGTCCCCACAGATAGCACAGGTCACCAGGCTATTAACTACATTCATGCCCAGACTTTTGGGTAGAAAGCAGACACACACCCTTTCTGTTGAGGAGACAAGCTTGTGTGCTTTATGCCCTGTTTTCCCTGGTGCTTATCTGTGAGCACAGGAACCTCGGAAGTCACTCAGGGCCCCTGTTATTTGTTAAAATGATCATTCTTTTTGTTAAAATGAGGTTATAAGGCCCTGAGCAAAGCTCATTCCTGGTCATTATAGCAGAGTACTGAATTAACTTCCTGAGCCTCCGTTCAGTGCTCATCCATGCCCCTCTGTTCCAGGCCCTTTTGCTGTTATTAGCTTGATGATTGGTGGTGTGGCTGTTCGGTTAGTACCAGATGATATAGTCATCCCTGGAGGAGTAAATGCAACCAATGGCACGGAAGCCAGAGATGCGTTAAGAGTGAAAGTCGCCATGTCTGTGACCTTACTTTCAGGGATCATTCAGGTGAGACTCCAGTGTGGGGAGATAGACTCTGGTTTGTTCATCTATGAAATGCCTAGTGAATTCTCTTAGCTGGCCTCACTATGTGTGGGCAGAGGCAGACAGCAAAACTCCAAATCTGGAGGCTCAAGATCCTTATCCACTAAGAATGGCTAGCAAGCTTCCCTTGAGTGTTCCAGATATCGCAAAAGCAAAGCAAGTATGATTGACTGGGTGGTAGTTTGGGGAAGAGACCTCCCTTATGAGCTGGGGAGTGGGGGGTATGGTATGTGTATGGTCTGCATGAATGAGCCCCTCACAGGCAGAGTAGAAACATGGCCAAAGTGCCGGGGGACTCAAGTCATTACAGATTTAGCATTATTTCCTTTGTAACCAGTGAACAGTTAGCTGCCATAGGTACAAGTCTATAGGATTAGAAAGTGACCTAGTAAAAAATTCACAAGTATTTTGTTGATTGTCATTTCCTAACTCATCATGCTATTTGTTTGTTTCTTTGTCATTTTAAAAACTGTAGTTTTGCCTAGGTGTCTGTAGGTTTGGATTTGTGGCCATATACCTCACGGAGCCTCTGGTGCGAGGGTTTACCACCGCGGCCGCTGTGCATGTGTTCACCTCCATGTTAAAATACCTGTTTGGGGTTAAAACAAAGCGGTACAGTGGGATCTTTTCAGTGGTGTATGTAAGTAAGCAATGCCTGACTTGCTGCTGTTGCCCACCCCAGCCCTGTTTGCTTCTGTTCATCCTTCACCTTCAATGCTTCATGGGGGGAGATGCAGTTATTCTCAGGCTTTTGGAGAAGAGAGATACAACAATGGTTAAATCCTGAAGCCCATCATGTGGATATGGATTCTCCCTGCTTCAGACAGAGTTTGTTCTTAGAGCTTTGTTTGGATTGCAGCAGTCGCTCTAATTAGCTGAACAGACAACCTTTAAGACAAAATTGGGGGGGTTGTTTTGTTTTTGTTTTTATCCAGACAAAAAATAAATAACTTAAGGTATAATAGGAAGCTAGGTGTGACAATGAACATCTTTAATCCTAGCACCTAGCACTTTAGAGACAGAAACAGGCAGAGCTCTGTGAGTTTGAGGTAGCCTGGTCTACAGAGTGAGTTCCAGGCCATCCATCCAGGGCTATATAGTGAGACCCTGTCTCAAAAAACAAACAAATAAAAGATATAATAGGAAAGACAGCTCTCTTAAAGGTTGCTTATTCAAGCAGGGGGGGGGGGAAGCTATAAATGGTTTAACTAACAAGTAATCAGCTTAATATAGTAAAACATGTGTAGACTATACACAATAGAGAACGTAAAAATTGGTTACAAATGCATAGTAAAAATAACTGACCAGGTCAAAGCTGATTACTTGAAGTTGATGACAAATCCTAAACATTCAACATTTTTTCACACAATACAATATAGCTAGAAAGCATTAACAATATAGCTTTCCAAACCCTGAATGGGGATTGGAGAGATGTCTGGGCTGTTAAGAGTGCTTGCTACTGCTGTGAGGTGCCAGGGTTATCTTGTAGCGCTCACACCAGGCAGCTTATACTCTGCCCATGTCTCCGGCTCCTGGTAACTCAGCACCCCCTCTGGCTTCACTGGGCACAGACACACATGAACACACATACAGGCATACCCAAATAAAATACTTAAAAACAAAACAACTACTATTACAAACCTGTATGTTTAGAATCCAGCAACAAAAACAAAGCAGCATTTCTAAATGCCGCTGAAGTAATTACAGCCAATCGACAGTAAAATACTAGGGAGGACATTTCAGCTGTAGCCCTTGTGGGTGTTTCTTTGCCAGGCCTTCAGTAGGCACTGAGTTGAGTGATGAGCTGAGCAGACACAGCCTTGACTTGTGGGCTGACAGTCCAATGGGAAGATAGTCATGGCGAACCATGATTGTACAAGTGTGCATTACAAACTACATTAAATGCTATAATGGGGAAACAGTATGGACAGCTTTAGGGTTTTGAGACAATCATTTTTGAAGACGTCGCATTTAAATTTGAACTCTCAATTGATAATACTGGAATCAGACTGCAAGGATATCTCACAAATTATTATTTTTTGATAGCTGGAAATAGACCTCATTCTCTGAGACTTTCTTAAATTGACATGTCACAGAGAAAATGCAGTCTGCACCTTTGTGGGCCCTGGGCTGTGCAGCTAGACTCTCCGCTTTGATGTGTTTCAGATGAAGTGATTATATTTGGGGTATCCGGTCCAGAGCCCTAACATAAGTGGCTTTCTTCTCTAGCTCTCCTGGGCTTCTTTCTAAACATCGTTCTCCTGGCTCCAAAGCCTGCCTGACGACTTCGCTGTCACCTTCTCACAACAATTACCCAATTTTAAAGCTTCGCTATGTATTGATCTCTGCAGTTTTCTGTGGGGTTGACCCTGATTCTTTCATAACAGACCCTGGGGTATTTTTTCTGAATTTTATATGAACTACATTCCCATATCAGCATATCAAATGCACCATAAGCCTTTTGTAGTGGAGCATGCTAGTACTAACACTCCAGAAGAACATGAGTTCAAGGTCAGCCTGAACTTACAGTGAGACCCTGTCTCAAGCAAAACAAAACAACAACAAACGTATAATGTTGTTGGATAAGAATTATGTGTATAAAGTTGAATGGTTAAAGAAAATGCCTCCTAAATTGTAGAAGATACAAAGAGAAATGCTTCAGCCTAAAACCTTTCAGTTTGTGTGCCGAGGGTTGAATTCAGGGCCAGGAGCATGCTGCATACATACTCCACCACCGAATTTTACACTTGCTCCTCTGTACACACCTCTCTTTAAGTTTAGGCTCAGATGAATTTTTTTGGAGACTTTTTTTTAATGTGAAAAATACTCTGGACAAGAGGCCTGGCTGAAGAAATGGCTTAGTGGTGAGAGTGCTTGCTGCCCTTGCAGAAGACCTGGGTTTCTCCTGGGGTGTGGGTGGTGGCTCACACACTACTTGTTAACTCCAGCTCCAGGGTATCTGATGCCTTTTGATCTTTGTGGGCTCCTGTGTGTATGTTGTGCAAATACATACACCCAGGTACACATGCAGACATTAAAAATTAAAAGTATTTTTAAAATACATAGTGAAGCATATCTCATTGTTCACATTATTTTTCATTACACAGTACTGTGAAATTAAGTGCATTTATTTTGCCATGCAGCTGTGGTCACCCTCCATTTCTAGAACCTTTCCAGGAGTTCAGATGGAGGCTTCCCACATGTACAGTGTTCCCTTCCCATCCTCTCCACTCAGCTCTAGCCTGTGTCACACTTGTCTCTTGAGCCTGTCTAGGCACCTCACGTGTGTTGAGTCACACAGTACAGAAGCTGCTGCTTGATGTAACCCTCCAGTGTTCACTGTGTTGCAGAGTACAGTTGCTGTGTTGCAGAATGTTAAAAACCTCAACGTGTGTTCCCTAGGCGTCGGCCTGATGGTTTTTGGTTTGCTGTTGGGTGGCAAGGAGTTTAATGAGAGATTTAAAGAGAAATTGCCAGCACCCATTCCTCTAGAGTTCTTTGCTGTAAGTACATGCAACATGGTGGCTTGTTCAGCCCCTGCAACTGCATGCACCTGTTCCTGCAAGGGATTCTGACATGGATGGTAGAGGGGCAGGGAGCTGAGGGTCCTCCATCCCCACTCTGCAGAACAACTAACAAAATAGTAAAAATAAAAAGGCATTAAAACATAGGCATAGATGACTTTTAAAACCTAATGAAAATGTAAATTTAAAATTTAACATTGGTTGTCTATGAGTGTTGGGATTTGTTTTTCTTAAGGTTTTTCATTATCTGTTTATTTTTTTTAAACATCACATATTATGCTGGGTGGTGGTGACTCTCACCTTTAATCCCAGCAATAGGGAGACAAAAGCGGGTCTGGTCTACAGAGAGTTCCCCAGGACAGCAAGGGCTACACAGAGAAACCCAGTCTCAAAAAAAAAAAAAAAATCACGTTACTTTAATAATAAATTTAATAATAATTCAAATAGCTTTACTTACCTTAATAAAGTGGCTTCCATTTTGAAAAGACAAAATTTCCCCAACTTTCTTTGTTTTCTGGTACAGTCTCACACAAGTCAAGCCCAAATATCTAGTGTTTTGTAAAAATCATGCATATGTATTGAAATAAACAATACTATGCTCTTAAGTGACCACAATTACTTATTCATGAATGTGTACATGGAGTGGCCTTGGAGTCAGAGTGAACACTACTCCCTCGTGCCTCTTTACAGAGAGTAACAGCAGAACACCCAGCTTTTGCAAGCTGAGACATAGTCAGAAGGACATGGTCTGAACTGTTGTGTCAAGTGTGAGCTACCTCCAACCAGAAGTCTGCACAGCCACACTGTGCAGCCCTCAAAATCACAACCCCAGTGAATTCCCAGATAGAAAGTTTGGACCTTACAAAGAATTTTTTCTTTTCAAAAAATACTAGGTGTCAGCCATAGATAGGTGCCTGTGATCCCAGCCCTTAGGAAATCATGACCTTCCTTACTCAGACTCTTTACTCTGAGTAAGGAGGGTCATGATTTTAAGGCCGGTGTGAAGTACATAGGGAGAACTTGGTTTTTGTTGTTGTTGTTGTTTGTTTGTTTGTTTGTGTTTTTATGGTTTTCCAAGACAGGGTTTCTCTGTGTAACCCTGGCTGTCCTGGAACTCACTTTATAGACCAGGCTGGCCACGAACTCACAGAGATTCACCTTCCTTTGCCTTTGCCTCTGCTGAGATTAAAGGTGTGCACCAACACTGCCTGATGAGAGAACTTGTTTTTATAAAAGAAAAAAAAAAGGACAGCAAATTAATGTGAATTTGATCCAAATTTAGAAGAGGGGAGCTCCAGCCACAAAACACTGTCTAGCACATGTACAGAGACCGTGACCTCTTCCATCCTCTTCCTTGCCTTAGTCTTCGAAACAACCAACCCGTTATTTCTTTATTTTTCTTCCATTCTGTGCTTGGAATCTGATTGGGGGCTTCCTGAATGCTAAGAATGTGTCTGCCCCTGAACCACATGCTAGTCCTTTCTCAGAACTGAAAAGGCAAAAGAGACCATCTCCAACAATTTCAGAAACTCTTCTCTAGCTGGGATTGGGTGCAGAAATCCAGTTTCTACTTGGAACAGCAAGAGGTGCAGGAGAGCTTTGCTAGGCCAATGCCTGCTGAGGAAGAAGTAAATGGCCTTTGTTGTCTCGAGTACCAGTTCTGCCCACTGCCCAGATTCCCTTTAAAGCTCCCTTCATGTTTCCCCAAGGACTAGTTCTCCACAACTATCAGTGAAATTATAGTCTTTCAGTAATACCTTCATGTGCTTTTTAAACCTCTTGCCTGGGCAGTGAGATGGCTCAGTGGATAAGGGTACCTGATGACAAGCCTGACAATCTGAATTTCATTCCTAGGACCCATATGGTGGAAGGAGAAAACCGACTCCCAAAAGTTGTCCTCTGACCTTTATATGTACAGTGTGGCATGCACTTGTGCATAGATACCCATACTCAATTATCAATAAAATGTAACCCCCACACCCACCCACCCAAAATGTTGGCAAATAAGCTTCTTACATATGCATTTCACAGAGAAAAAAAGAAAGAAAACGTTCTTCTGATGTTTGAGGACAGGGTCCCCATGACTCCTTTTAAGCATGAACTTTATTTTTTATATAAACGTGTTTTGAGTTTTACATCCTGTGATACATCTCTTCATGTCAATGGGAGACAACAGATTAGTAATTAGTCACCACCACATAAAATTGAACCTCCAGGTACTTAAACCACATTTATTTGGTGAGTTTAAATATTCTAGGGACTCCTCCAGTTTGGGAAACATAGCATTGAAGTCAGCAGACATAACTGCCACAAACATCACCATCTTCACTGAACAGAGCAGCTGACACTGGCTCCTCTGAGGCTGTTGTGGCTGACGGCTGACTGACGGTACTAGCAGTTATGCAGAGTCCACTGCTATAGGAGCTGCCATCCCTGGCATAGCCCATTCCAAAGGATATGGAAGCAGCAGCTCCTGGGGATGTGACAAGTAGCTGTCACCCCTCTGTCATGCTCCTCTGCTCGGAGAATTGTGCTTTGTACCTCACATACATCTAGGCCTTGGGAACACCACTCTGGGTGACATGCTTGAGAAGACTGTGTGCTACTACTCCAGAAGGCTTCCCACCATGTTGATGCTGCCATTCTGGAGACAGGGACAGCAGTGGCAGGACTCTAAAGCCAAATGTGAGTGCATGATGACAGGCTGATATTGCCAGCCTGTGGCCTACATTCCTTCTACCTGCCCAAACTCAAGGGCAACCCCAGTGATGGCCTTCTGTGGCAGCCAACTAACCCAACACCTCAGCTGGGTACAGGAAACAAGGAAAAGAAACTGACTCAGGCCTCAGGCTGTAGGGTTCTTTGTGTGGTAAAATCACTGAGAAGGGTTGGATGGCAGCTGAAGATCCCTGTCTTAACCCTGAGAAGAGAGAGAAAATAGATTCCTGATCCATGGGCTCTCAGAGCCTTGATTTTGTGCAGGATCAGCACTTGGCTCTAAGGTGCATTTGTTTTTCTGTTGTAGGTAGTGATGGGAACTGGCATTTCCGCAGGGTTTAACTTGCAAGAATCCTACAGTGTGGATGTCGTTGGAACTCTTCCTTTAGGGTAAGAAAATAGTTTAAGAAGAATGATTGAATATTCAAGGGGTCTACTATCTCTAAATCTGCATGAAAAATATCATCTTTTCTACATATGAAATAGCTGAAGATTTAAGATTTGAGGGTGTGTGTGTGTGTTGGTTAAAAACACATAGCAGCTGGATGTGATGGCATTCATCTTTAATCCCAGAATTTAGGAAATGGAGGCAGGCAGGTCTCTGTGAGTTCCAGGCCATTCTGTTCTTCATAGCAGATTCTAGGAAAGACAGAACTATATAGTGAGACCCCATCTAGTGGGAGGGAAATGGACATAGCAGGAAAAGAATTTGAAGTTTATTTATTTATTTATGTGAGTGTACATGTCCATGTGTCTATTGAGGCCAGAAGAGGTCCTGGAACCAATGTTGCAGGGACTGTGAGTCACTTGACATGGGTCCTATAGTTGAGTGAAGGGGACCCAAGACCAGTGAAAGGGGAAAATCCCACCCTGAGGAATAAGTGGAATAGGCATGTGGGGAACAGGCTATTGATTGACAGGTGTTGATTGACAGAACTTATCTGGAGTGGATTTGACCTGTGAAAGGTGGGCTCAAGCCCATTCCCTGAAGCTTACAAGAATATCTTAAGATTACAAAAAGATAAGTTTTAGATATGTTACTGTTCCCACTGGTTGCAATCTTTACTGAAATCCACATTGGAGAAATGACAGTAGACACAAGCCTGTCATAATAGAAGCTTGGGAACCCAAAATGATTCTGCGTTAAAAGCATAAACACTCTTCCTGGAGTGTTGGACCTATAAATTAGATGTTTTTTCAGCACAATGAGAAGCCCTTTTATATTTAGAAAACAAAAGAAATCTAAAATCTTGAGCTTGTGACTATGATAGTAGTAGTCAGAGTTTAGCAGAGCTAGATTAATAGCTTATCAGAATTCCATTAATTAAAGTTAGAACTCTGAACTTTTGAAGTCTTAGTATAGCAATAGCATAAAGAGGGAAAGAAATCTGAAACTTTTTGTTTGTTTGATTGGTTGGTTGGTTGGTTGGTTGGTTGGTTGGTTGGTTGGTTTGTATTTTGGTTTTTTGAGACAGGGTTTCTCTGTGTAGCCCTGGCTGTCCTGGAACTCTGTAGACTGGACTGGCCTTGAACTCAGAGATCCACTGCCTCCTGAGTGCTGGGATTAAAAAGTGTGCACCATCACTCCTGGCTTCATTTTTTTTAATACCTTAAATCACCTTCTTATCACAACTTAAGGCCTCAGACCATTAGAACTCGCATTAACACACTTTAAAACACCGCCTTACACCCTAAAGCATTTTTTAGATCCTCACAACTTAAGCTTTTGTATCCTCAAACATCACATAAACTTTATACCTGTTTCTATCCAGTCATTCACCACAAGGCACAGGTGGTTGATTATTACTAAGAGAATCATTATAAAGTGAGTTTCTTTAAATAAAGGGATAGTAAAAAGTTACTTTGAAAACTTTTTTTGTGAGTTTATCTCGTTTTTTGGGTCTTGTAGCAAGGTAAATTGTGGACCTAGTGGTTGCTCTAGGAAAGTGAGGCCTGTGGTGATTTTTACACATGAGAAGAACTGAGGAGGCAGCTGAAGCCTTGGTTGCTGCTGTGACTCAGACAAAGCTGTCACTGGCCTTAGTTGTCACCGCCATCAGAGATGTGAGAAGGATGAATTTTACCTCAGCAAGCAGGAAGTACAGAACAAGCAGCTTCAAACTCTACTTGAAATGACAGAGTAAAAAGTAGAGGACGTGTAGATTGGAGCGAGTTCAGATATAAGAGATTTAGGGATACTTTGTCTGTGCAGTAGCAGTTGTAATGATTTGTAAGAATTTGGAGACCAAGTTTGCCAATTTTCTGGCCATTGGTCTGTTCTGAGGCCAAGCTGTAGTAATAAAATGAGTCCGTGGAGGGAGAGAGCAAGTGCAAAAGCTAAATGTTGTTTGGGTATGTTCCTGTATGCAGGCTGTAGCCAAAGAGAGCAGGAGAATGGAGGTGTCCACGTGAGCGCAGAAGGCTACAGGAGCCAGAGCCTTGTGGAGGGTACATGGGAAAAGGGTGGGGGAAGGCAGCGGCTGAAGGATCAGACTCTAGAACTTGGAATTAAATTCATAAACAAATGACCAGTTGGAAGAGTTATATGGGCGGCTTGGTTCAGAGTTGCTGCTGCAGGGAAGAGCAGGTGTGTGCACTCACAGCTAGCCTGATCCTTTGCCCACCCCTCCCCCCACTGTTCCCACTAGGACCTGCTCTATCTCCCACTTTTACAGCAAACTAAACAGAATTTAAAAATCATTTACACAGTTGAGGGGGCAGATCAATAGGGCTTGGAATGAAGAAAAAAAGAAATAGGGAATGAGGAGTTCTTTTACATTCCCCAATTGCTTGGTTGGTCACATTTAGATTGGTTATCTAAGGGACACTGAGGCCAGATTTGACTGGAAAAGCAGGTAAGTTTAGAGGCCTTTAAGTTGGGTGCTAGGTGGAGCCATCCAAGTTTCTTCTAGAGAATCCCAAAGGAGATCGAAGAGGTGGATGATGGCAATTCTCATCAATGGGGGAAGGGGGTAAGGACTCAGGAGGACCGAGTGGAGAAGCCACAGCTGTATAGTGGGTCATCACCTCACCTTACCGGGGCCAGGGGCTAGGCCAAGCTAAGCCCAAGGAGAGTCTAGACTCTTGGCACCAGAACTTTTTAATGAAGCTGGAAAATGCTCAAAATTTTGAGCTGAAAATGCTCAAAATTTTGAGCTGAAAAGCTCAAAAATGTCCTGGGGGCACCACTCCCAGACAGACCTCTATCCCTGAGAAGTCTTCAGTTCCTTCCCTAGACCTGAGTTCCTCACTGTCTATGAATTAGTTGGGAGAGTTAATGGCAGGTATTCCAGGCTTCCAGGCTTCTCAATCAACCGTGAGTTGTGTATAGTGTCTACAGCATGAACATACTTACTGCATCAAACCCTGTTCCAGAGTGAACCACCTCCCCCCCCCCCAATCCCAGGCTCCATTTTTAACCCTAATAGTCATTTTTCATTTTACAGTTGGCAATTTTTTACATTAAAGATCAATAAAGTCCTGTTTTCTTGGCCAAAAAAAGAAAAGAAAAGATGAAGCCTTACCTTGGGAATTGGTTAGAGGTGAGGTCATCGAAGAGTGTCAACCTGGCCTTAAAGACTGTGGCTGAGGGGGGGTACCTCCACTTCTCAAGGGGAGCCCGATGCTCAACTATCAGTTCCTCAGATTCAGAAAAGCATTACACCAACTGAAAGGGAAAATGTACCAGTTACGGTTTTGGATGCCCTGCCCAGTGATCGATCAGTAAGCTGGAAAGTGAGTCTGTTGCAGGTGGACTGAGAGATAAGGAATAGGGTCCCAGTGTGGCTTAGACCCCCCTAAGGGCAGAGTATGCAGGCATAAGAAAAGCCTACTGAGTCAGCAGCACTAATGTTAGGGTTTAAGTATAAGTCGGAGCCAACATATGCAGTAAAGATCATACCACACAACAGGTCTCATGCAAGAGATTTATTGGGGAGAGCAAAAGTCTCTGAGTGCAGACAGGAGAGAGAGAGAAAGAAAGTGAGAGAGAGAGAGAGGATGGACAAGGGTAGGAGAAAAAGAGAGGGGGCTGTGATGGTAGGGGGCCTTTTAAGGGTGTGGCAGCTGGTGATGATGTGGCTGCTGCATTAAGTAGCTGAAGGCAGGCCACAAGCACTCCCGATTTCTAACAGTGGGGAGTGGGTACCTTCTTTTCTTTAAACCTTTTTTTAAAAAGTCTGTCCTTGAAGCTGGGCATTTGTGGTGCACACCTTTAATCCCAGCACTAGGGAGGCAGAGGCAGGCAGATTTCTATGAGTTTGAGGCCAGCCTGGTCTACAGCCTTCAAAGCAATTCTGAGAAACCTGTCTCGAAAAACCAAAAAATAATAAATAAATAAAATCTCTCCTTGAGTGACACAGGATTAAAAACAAAAACATGGCCTGGAGAGATGTCTCAGATTTAAAAACACTGACTGCTCTTCCAGAGGTCTGCAGTTCAATTCCCAGCACCCACATGGTGGCTCACAACCATCTATAATGAGATCTGGTGCCCTCTTCTGGCCAGCAAACATTCGTGCAGGCACAACATTGTATACACAATAAATAAATCTTTAAAAAAAAAAAAAAAAAGAGGCAAAAAGACACGACTTCTAGCCTGAGCCTTTTAGTTGTGTATCCTTGAGCAAATGGCTTCTCCTCCCAAAACCCCATGCTTCCCATCGACTTCTTGAGTGTTGTAGCCCTCACTTATTCCTGCTATGGCCTTGACACTGCAGGTGGTAACAGGAGGAGGGCTGGGGTGACAGCAGGCGTCCAAGATAGGCTAGCTAGAAATTCCAGGGCTCATCCCAGCTGGCTTCCCGATGGTGATCGTAGTTTATATACTGGTTGCTTCCTCTATATTACCCAACTCCATATTTTAACATGAATCATTACATTTCCATTTAAAGGAAAAGAGTGACCCACCACCTCTGCCTGACTCTCCCTGAGCCTGGCCGCCATCTCTCTCACTGTGTGTCTCTGTCCTATATTTGCAGCAATATTCTCTCTCTCTCCACCTTCTCTTCTCCAAAACAAGGCCAGACATCTACCCAGATACTGGGCTCTGAGGAGAGCTGTCATGTTCCATCAGGCTATGCCCAGCCAGGGTTCTCCAGGGAAGCAGAGAGGCACAGAGTGCTCTCATGCAGGGTCCTCCTGCCACTGAGCCAGTACTTCAGGCAAAGCTTCCAACTGTAAACATCAGAGCAGAAAAGCAGTGTCATAAACATGTTTTTTAATAATGACCCAGGGAAAAACCACAATAAGGCAATAATTTCATTTTCAATTTAGACCGAGAATTTGTAAAAATACTTTATATCCACCATTCTAGTTAAGGTTTGTAGTAACCCTATTGACAATATATTATATATATACATATATACATATACATATACATATACATACATACATACATATATATATATGTATATATATATATATGCTTTTCTTTTCTCTCTTTTTCTTTTTCTTGTTTTTTCAAGACAGGGTTTCTCTGTATTGCTTTGGAGCCTGTCCTGGAACTCGCTCTGTAGACCAGGCTGGCCTCGAACTCCAAAGATCCTCCTCCCTCTGCCTCCTAAGTGCTGGGATTAAAGGAGTGAGGCACCAATGACCAGCCCTCTCCCTGTGTTTTGTAAAGTTATCTTCATTTATTCAGTAGTTGTTTACTGAATACCTACCATGTGTCAGGGATATGGCAGTTACAAACAAAACAAACACACAAACAAAAACATGTTCTTGCCCTCTGAGAGCTTTGTGACCTGCTGGACACCAATAGCCAACCAGCAAAAACAGGTAGTGGGAGAACAGAGTAGGATAGAGAAAGACGGCTGCTGTGTCAGGAAGGGTTCCATGGAGGAGAACTGAGTGAGCTGCCCCAGGGACTTGCCCTGATGCCCATTTTGAATACTTTCCATTACCTCGAACCGACTCTCTAACAGTGAGTCCTGTGATAAACATTGGCCTTTGATTAGAGCCAGCAGATAATGCTATTGAGTTACTAGTTACAAATAATTTAATGACAAAGTCTAGCATGTAGATTTCTGCATTAAATAAACAAAACAAAACTCCGCTGGTAAGTTTATCGTCGGTGCCCCTGAGACTCATGCTCATTGCTTTCCCTTCCCTATGGCATTGTAGGAGGATGAGCTGCCCTCCTTCACCTGTGGGAGTTAGACTTTTAAAAGACAATAATTTCACCTTCTGAAGCTTGGCTACCCAGAAAACTTATCCTCTTGAAACTTACTCAAAAGCAAGCAGCAGTTTAAATATGGTGGCATGCCCACGTACCCCCAGCATGTGAGAAGCCAAGTGTGAGGCAGCCTGGGCTACACGGTGAGCTGGAGCCAGCCTGGGCTAGCAGTTGGGGGCTGGCTGACATCTTCTTTCCTTGTGGCATCTCCAGCAGGACAGCCTACTCCTTTTACATGATTTACTCAGAGGGGAATGAAGAGGATTTCCCAGGCCATGTTAGGCCTTACGGGCATCACTTTCTCTACGTTCTGTCAGTCAAATGTATTATAGCTTCTTTTTGGACCAAAGCACCTAATAGGGGGGAAAAATAGAACAAGAAACATAAATAAAGCCGCACATGTCCATGTTACACAGGGTTTCTGAGAGATTTGGTCATGATAGCAGGTAAGGCACAGTGGAGGAGCAGCACCGTCTTGATTGTCATGGTAGCAGGAGAATGTATTAACTCCACCAGGAAGCAGAGAGCACAATAGAAAGCACCATTGTGCAGATGCTCTTCAAGGCCCTTCCCCTGCTAACCTGTTTCTCTATTTAGGCCAACCTCCTAAAGGCTTATAGCCTTCAAAGAAGTGCCAGAAACTGGGGACCCAGGGTTCAAAACATGAGCTATGGGGACATTGCATAGTCATAGCTCCCTGCACATTCAGCTTAGAGGCTTCCTGCAGGGAAACTGACCTGGCTACACATTGCTTGATATCACAAGGTTTCCTCTAGAGTTTTGGTGGAAGCCCCAGTGATCTGTCACTATTGCATTCTGCATGTCTGCAAAACCAGCACCATTTACTTAACACCACATGGTGCTGTGGGCCTTAAGTAATAGCTGGGGTTCAATGGGCCACAGCAACTGTAGCCTGTGAGTGCCTGCACAGCTGGACTTGGTAAAACATTTTCCCAGACAGCCCTCTTTCTGAAGGGCACCCATTAAACTCTCTCTTTTGAAATGGAACTTTCAAATAAATTTGTATTCTTATACTCTGGGGCCTCCAGGGAAAGGGGTCTCACTCTCAAGGCAGCTTTTCTATTGTCCCGCCTCATGGTTCCTGGCTTTTCTTTCATGGCAAGAACCTCTTTACCAACATACTTTATCTAGAACAGCCCTAAATGTGCTCTCTGTCCTTTCCTGGCCAGCCTACTCATTTGTTTATATAAATTCTCACTACTTGGCTGAGAGAAGCAAATAGTAACCATTCCATAGTTGAAATGTTACACTGTCTTAAAGTTTCTTCCACCAAATCAACTAGCCCATTACTTTTCCCTTCCTCCTCATTCATATTTTCAGGACATGGACCCAAGCATCCTGCTTCTTTGCCAAATGTAACAAAATCATCCTTAGCCAGATTCTCATTGAAGATCTTATTCTCATCTGAAACCTCGTGAGCTCAGCCTTCATAATCACATTTCTATCCACATTTTGGAATTCCAAACTCCCAGCAGAACCAACCAAGAAACTCTCTTTAGCATTCTAGGGTTTGTCAAGCCCAAAGCTTCAAACTCTTCCATATTCCTCCTCAAAGCAAGTTCTAAGGACCTGATAAATACAGAATCGGGTCTGTCTCAGTGACAACCCCATTTCTTGCATACTTTGTAACTACAACCAAATTACCTGGAAGAAACAATGTAAGGAAGCAGAGAACTGTTGTTCCTTTCAGCCCATCACAGTGGGACAGTTATGGCAATATAGCTGCATCCACAGCAGCAGAAGCATGAGACAGGAACTTGTCACATCATGGGTGAGGGAGTAGAGCACCAAGGGTAGCGATAGCTTTCAAAGGCCGTCCCTACTGACCTGCCTCTGCTGACCAGGCCTCACTCCTAAAGACACCACACCTTTCAAAATAGTGCCACAAATGGGGCATGAGTGTTCAGAACAGGAGCCTGTGGGAGACATTGCATATACAAGTCAAACAAGCAGATCTGGAGGCCAGCCTGTATTCAATAATAGACACATCTAGATGGATGAATCTGTTGCACCTGCAAGTGTGAGAGGAATGGCTGGCAGCTGAGTCTGAAACTAACTGCTTATCAATGTGTACTCACAAATAATAGACCTTGAAGGGCCCAGAAAGTGGCAGGTGACTGGTTAAAAAAAAAAAAAAAAAAAAGCCCAGGGTCACTTTCTTGAACTCATTTCAAAACATATCCTGCTCTGGTATCCTATATTCCAAGCCAAAAGCAACTGCTAGGCTTCTTCCCCTTCCTTCCATCCATTCCTTACCCCAGAATTTGAAATGTCCTTCTAACCTTGTGTCAGTATGAGGACATTGGTGGGAAAAGGCAAGTTACTCATGCTCTCGTGTTCTTGATGGAAGAAGTGATTGGACTTACACAGTTGTGATCTTATGCCTTGTCTGTGAAGTCATGGTGGTGCCTCATTCACAGTCCATGAGAAATAGTTAAGTCAGCATAGAACCCAGCACAGAGGACCATACACATGAGAACGTCTTAATTGTCTTATATAGCAAGTAAGTGAACACAAAATTACTTAGCCCAATGCCTTGAACTAAGCAAGATATCTCAGCAAACCCCCACTGTCACCTCCCTTATAACACTGTAGTTACTTTTAGGACAGGTGTTCCAAACTACAAGGTGCAAGGTTCCAGAAGTCACACCTTGACTCCTCTAGTTTCCATGAGTCCCAAGGAGTAGTTCCTTCTCTTTTCAATGTTAGATCTCTACTGAAGAGACAGTAACACAGGAAGAGCAGAGGGGAGAAGTGAGTATGTTACCAGGGCAGCATTTCTCCACTGAAGCAGGGCTCGTCCAAAACTCTCTCCACCCAAGCCTGGCTCAGATATGTGTGGCATCTGAACACTTACCAACCTGTCTTCATCCTAGTCTCCCTTATACCTGCCGCCAGGTATGAGGTTACTCTACTATAAACTTGGCACCTGATCTATACAGATAAGGCATCCCATAGAAAGCCAGCATGGACCAGGAAAGAGCTTGGGCAGCAGGAGGGCCCTTCTTATTGCCACATAAGAATCAACAACTACCTAAGCACTGGTCACCTCATTTGCAGATAATGCCACTGCCCCATGTTCTGTCCCACTCTGTGTGTTTACACCCAGTACTCACAGTTCTTGAGTTAAAGTCTCCTTGGCTTTTCAGACTCCTTCCTCCCGCCAACCCGGACACCAGCCTCTTCCACCTCGTGTATGTGGATGCCATTGCCATAGCCATCGTTGGATTTTCAGTGACCATCTCCATGGCTAAAACATTGGCAAATAAGCATGGCTACCAGGTTGATGGCAACCAGGTAAAAATCATCAGTTTCCTTGGATATTGCACTGGGGTGCAAGCACCAAGCTGTGCTGGAGACTGCAAAGGGACTAGTTTCATGGGAAGGCTTTTATTCTGGGGATGGACATAATTGAAGCATGTATAATATACTCCTCTCTTGCCTCCATCTCTTCCTCTCCCCCCTCCTTTCCTCTTCCCCCTCCTTCCCTACCTCCTCTTTTCTTCTTTCTCTCTTTCTTCCATCACTGTTACACACAAGGTCAAACATTGAGGCTAATTCATTATGTGGTCAAGGCTGGCCTCAAACTCACAATTCTCCTGCTCCAGTTTTCTGAGTACTGGGATTTTGTTTTCTCTTTGCTGCCTCTTTCATAACATAGTTGAAAGTGGGTATTGAATCCAAACACTATGATCTGTAATCTTGCTATAGTGTATATTTTAGGGCAGTGCACTTTTTTTTTCACATTTTATGGCAGATTCTTTCCATATGTTACAAAATAGCAAATCTTAGTATAGAAAGAAAATCCTTTCTGAGAAAGGTCAAGCAAATACTTTTCTTTTTTATTTATCTAATTTTTTGAGGCAGTGTCTCATTTGTCTCTGGCTGGCCTAGAACTTACTCTGTAGACCAGGCTAGCCTTGAACTCAGAGATCCACCTGCCTCTGTCCCCCAAGTGCTGGGATTAAGGGTGTGTTCCACTAGACCCAGCTAGCAAATACTTTTTCTTTACACAATGGTGTACTGATTATTTTAGAGGCATGGTCTCAGTCTGTAGCTGGCCTCAAACTTGTGGTACCCCAAGCTCCAGAGTGCTGGGGTTACAGTGCATGGGCCACTCCCTTGTACCTGTAAAGGAACCAGATCTTCAACATTTATATAAAACCAAATTCCAAAGTAGCACTTACAGCAGGATTCAAAGGTTCTGAGAAGGCACTGACATGCATTTCTTCATGTCATCTAAAAGATGTCAGTAATCAGGCATCTAGAACTTTCTCTTTTGAAAAGTATTTTCTCAGTTTTTTGTTTGTTTTTTTTTTTTTTTTAAAGCAGTGCTTGTATAAAGGGTGGATTTGGGAAACAGGGAGCAGGTAGGAATCACAGCATTTATCTCCAACAGGGTAAAAATCCAGTTTTTCTCCCACTATGTATTATGCCCTAATTCCAACCTTGAACTCATGCTAAAGAAACAGCATTTGCCAAGGGAAGGGAAGGACAGCCTGCACCACTGATGATGTGTAACTAATGCATTCTGCTCTTCCTTAAGAGTGACCTATCTGTCACCTTTGCTTTGTTTCCACATGGAAAAGGAGCTCATTGCCTTGGGGATCTGCAACTCCATCGGATCTCTCTTCCAGACGTTTTCAATCTCATGCTCCTTGTCTCGAAGCCTTGTTCAGGAGGGGACAGGAGGGAAGACACAGGTATGTACACTAAGAACTGGTGAGCGGGGTGCTGGTTAGATGTCAATCTCTTGATTCTGTTCTGATTCCAAATAAAGCTACTCTGCAGTGAGCTATAGCAAATCAGAGAAAAGCATGATTGGTTGAAACAAATCACACATATACACACACACACACACAACACACACACACACTGAATCTATAGAAAAGAGGAATATTCTCTAGTTAAATTGGAAGTTATATGACACTCCACTTGCTACAGTAAACCTTAAATATTCAGACATGAGCTTTTTCTGCAAGCCTGGGATTGAGTGGGGCCATGAAGCTAGCTCCATCCCTTGGACTGTTCACACAATGAGAAGTATTCATTCTTTACACCATCCAACGTGGCAACCATTAACAACATGTGGCTCTTGAGTGCCTGAAATATGACTATGTAACCAAGACTCTTCAATTTTTAAAAACTGAAATCATGGCATGTAGCTACCATATTGGACAGTAAGTACTAGTCTCAACTCTTCTGTTCCTGGGTCTCAGGTTGGCACCCAATGTCATTCTCCACCTCTGACAAGAGCATTTAGCCAGTTCAGTTCTGCTTAAAAGCTGTAAGAGGAGTGGGTGAGAGGTGATGAGCTAGTGTTGTAAGTTCTCATAATGCTTTGGAAGACTTTTATTTTTTAATTTAAATTTGAAACAAGCTTGTTTTACATGTCAATCCCAGTTCCCTCTCCCTCCCATTCTCCACCTCTCCAAGCCCCCAGCCCATTCCCTTTCTGTTTCCCAGGAAGCTTTGTTCTTGATTTTCAGCATGTTCTTGATTTTTCCCATGGTGAAATGGCCAAGAGTAGGTTGCCCTGTGCCTGCCTTGGACTCTGGTCTAATTGCCCCTTCCATGTGTCTTCTGTCGCCCAGCTTGCAGGTTGTCTGGCCTCGTTAATGATTCTACTGGTCATATTAGCCACAGGATTCCTCTTTGAGTCTCTGCCCCAGGTGTGTGGTGTGGGCTTGCTGGGAGGGTTTCACTCTATCCTATTTGTGTTTTGTGGCTATCCTGGAGGTTGTGCTTTTCTTTTTACTGTAACTTCATCAGGGTAGTATGGGAAAAGCCTTGGAAAGGACCAGATCCTGTCCATCACCAACTGATAGTTGCATAGTCTTGACCTCCTTGGTCAGTTTCCTCATCTGCAAAGGAACTTTTGGCCTGACTGACTCCCTACCTTCTATCTTTGACTTTCCATTTTCATTAAAATTCTGAGATGACCTACAGCAGGACATTTATTTGCTGATTGTATTTTATCTAAGAGATACTAGGGAAAAAATGAAGTCATAAGGAGTGAGACCATAGATGAAATAATTCTTGTTGTCATAAATTTTATTCTGGGCCTCTTAGCTGCCATGCAGACTTTCTGGTAGGGTATACACCTGGGTTTCCAAGGCCAACTTTAAATGACCAAATGCTGGAAGCCCTAGTGCCCATGGCTTCAAGGGTGCCCTGAGTGCCCAGTAAAGATAGGTAGGTCAGTGGGTGAGAAAGATCTGAGGAAGACAGTAAGGCCCGCAGAGGAGGCTCTGTGTCCACGGCTGAAGAACATGGGTGGCTGTGCTGTGTTGCAGGCTGTGCTCTCTGCCATTGTGATAGTCAACTTGAAAGGAATGTTTATGCAGTTCTCAGATCTGCCCTTCTTCTGGAGAACCAGCAAAATAGAGCTGGTAAGTAAAGGCAGCTGCTAGCTCCAGGTCAGCAGCTACCATGTTGTGGGTTAACTGTGAGAAAGAACTAATGCACTTAATTGTTGTGCTTTTCCTGCGAGGCATGCAAGTGCATGCATGCGTGTGCGTATTTCTCATGGAATTGTTCTCTAGAAGCATTTCAACTTTTCTTTAGACCATCTGGCTTACCACCTTCGTGTCTTCCCTGTTTCTGGGGCTGGACTATGGACTGATTACTGCTGTGATCATTGCCCTGCTGACTGTGATTTACAGAACACAGAGGTGAGTATCTGGCTGAAGTTATAATGTGACTGGAAGAAGAACCTCATGGTAGGACACATGTCGGGCATGTTCAAGGCCCTGAATTCAAGCCCCAACACCTGCAAGGGGTGGGAGGATATAAACAACCCCACACGGTTGTGTCAGATGCTCTGCCACAATGTTGTGTTCTCTCCCTATGCTCCTCACCCTGGTTCCTGCTGGGCCTGACACAGCCATGCACTGGCTTGTCTGCCCTCTTCTGAGTCAGTCATGGTAGAGCAATAACAGGGTGCAAACACTGACACTAGTTTCACAGGTTTCTAGCTGCCCCTCCACTTTGAGCCACCATGCTGTTATCCCTTCTTCCTGGTGGTGAACTGAGTCCATTGGGGAAGGTATAAAAAAAAACCTTTCAAAACAAGAACTTCACATGAGAACAAGGAGTGCAGAGATGTAGGCATACTCCAATGGTACCACTGGCTCAGTTTAGGGCAGCACCTTCCCACCTGTAATACAAAGGCCAATCTATCTGTAGTTACAAGTTACATAGGGGTCCTTTAAGTCTGAAAGGCTCCTCAGGTGGGAGGATTGAGGGATGTTAACCCCTTACCTGCAGAATGCCAGGTGTTCCTGCTCTCTAGGTAGGAAGTTAACATTTCCATTGTTGAAATGACATAAAAGAAAGATGTTAAGAACACATGGTGTAAGTTGAGAATGGAATTAACTACTTTTATTAACAAATTTTAACACTGTTGTCCATTTTTCTCTTTTTTAATTTTATGTGTAAAAATACTTTTGCCTACATGTATGTCTGTGCACTGTGTGTATGCCCAGTGCCTATGGAGAGAAGAGAAAGATATTGGATCCCCTGGAATTGCAATTGCAGACAGTTGTGAGCTGACTTGTGGGTGCTAGGAATTGAACCTGGGCCTCTAGAAGAGATGGCTCTTAACCACTGAGCCATCCCTCTCCAGCCCCCTGTTGTCCATTTTTTCTTAATGAAGTTTTCCCTCATTGTTATACAGTGTCTTATTAGAATACAGAGGAGTTCTCTATCTCAGATCTCTGGTAAATGATGTGCTTTAAGATATCTAAGGATTGGAGGGTATAGCTCAGGGCTGGGGCATAAGCTTTCTAGACATGGGGCCCTGCCCAGTCCTCAGTTCCAAAACAAACAAGACATATGTCCTCTGACAAACTGCAGAATAAAGTGTGAGATATAAACGTTTTTCTTTACTGAATAGGGTTTCATAATTTATCTTTGTTTTGTTTCTTTAATGATATACTTCTCTGTCTCCCTCAAATAACTAGACTTGAGTTTATGTTCCGTCCTTTCTGGTTTTCCTGAAATTTTGCAGGTTGACATTTGAGAGACCATCACTCAAAACATCAGTTTATTCTCAGTTGCTTCTTATTCTATAATTAGGGCACACCTCCATGAGTCAGCTACTAGCCATTAGTGTCAATGTTGTCTTAACTTTGTTGGATCCTAATTCTGGGGTCCTGATGGGCCAATGGGAGAGCCCTGCAACACAAACACCAGAACCAGGAGATGCAACAAGCAAGAGGTATTTATTGAACGAGTGCACTTGGGTGACAGCAATCTCGGGGAAAGCTGCACACCCCTCAAAGGGTGTAGGCTCCTTTTTATAGAGAAAGACCGCAATCAGCATACATGCATGGGGCACATGGTGATTGATTACAAAGTATGATCTCATGTTTGAGAGATCACCCAGGTATGACCTGTTCTTCAAACGATAAACCATAGAATGATTTGGAAAGTCCCCAGACTGTCCGTTGACAAGGAGTGACCCAAACATGGATGTTTATCTGGGATCATTTGTTCCAGGGTTGGGGGCCTATTTCCTTGTTGTGGGCCAAGACCTGTGAGAGGCTTCAGTTATTTCACAAGAGATTGATGATTCAGTTGCTAGCCCTATTTAACAGAATCAGCCCCCTCACCATAGTAACTTTCTTGTTTTCATAATTTCTCTCCTCCCATGTCAATGTCCATGCTTTATGGTTTTCTATATTCTTCTTGCAAGAATTATTCTCCTGCCCCTTTCCTACATCCTTGCTCTGCAAGCTAAAATCTTTCAACTGGGGTATCGTTTTGTTCTTGTTTTGGTTTTTTTTGTTTGTTTGTTTGTTGGTTGGTTGGTTTTTTATTTTTTGAGACATGGTTTCTCTTTGTTGCTTTGAGCCTGTCTTGGAATTAGCTCTGTAGAGCAACCAGGCCTCAGTTTCTCTGCCTCTCTGTCTCTCTGCCTCTCTGCCTCTCCCTCTGCCCCGCTCAGCTTTAGAGGCTGATTCTTAGGAATTTTATCATCTTCATAAAATTAGAACATAAAGTAGTAGGTGTAGCAGGCTGTGACAATCAGCAAATAAAACCAACAGATATATATGGGAAAAGACCTCTTTGTTCCTGGCATCTGATGACCTCTGTTGGAATCAGTAGAATCTAGGCCTGCATAGAAAGTGCCCAAACACTCCAGGGTTCAGGCTAGCTAGCCCTTTCCTCGTTTGCCTATTTAACAGCTGCTTCCTTCTCTCTACAGTCCAAGCTACAAAGTCCTGGGGCAGCTCCCTGACACAGATGTGTACATTGACATAGATGCATATGAAGAGGTAGGACCTTTTTCTAATACCTTCAATGAGTGTAAGCACCTGATGGACGTGGCTGAGTAATGTTTGTACCAGTGATGAAGGAGAGAAGGAAGTGAGTGATGTGAAAGACGCAGCTTCCATTCACTCTCTGGACTCTGTTCTGTACTTCATTAATAACCCAACATACCTAGGGTATATTAATTACCCTACTTCCCAATATTCACTTTTAATGAGAATGGGTATATAGAGTACACATTTTAAAGACACTGATGTTGAGGATGCTTTGTGTGTGCATGGTTTTCTTTTGATGAGTTTAAACCAATGGAGAAATACCAGAGGTTTTTTTTTTGTTTGTTTGTTTGGTTGGTTGGTTTTATGTTTTTTTGAGACAGAGTTTCTCTGTTTTGTTTTGGAGCCTGTCCAGAACTAGCTCTGTAGACCAGGCTGGGCTCACAGAGGTCCACCTGCCTCTGCCTGTCGAGTGCTGGGATTAGAGCCATGTGCCACCAACGCCAGGCTGAAATACCAGTTTTAATCATGTTAAGATCTAGGTGGTAGGATGATGGCATTCTCCCATTTCATCTTTAATAGTTAAAATTATAGCCTCAGAGTGCCTTGATTTTAATGTTTTTGTCATCTATAGAATCTCAAAGGCTTTGAAACCCATTTCATTGTTTTATGCTTGGGGAAAAAAAATATAAGATTCACTATAAAGTGTTGGGAAATGAGCCTGGTGTTAGGAGAGACATTTTTCTACTAAGTCGCTAAACTCTAAATAGCAATTTTGGGTTCCATGACTTCTCCAGAAAATCTCACTCTGCTTTATTTGAGTTGAATTGTGGCTCACACCAAGTAAATGTGTGTTCTCCTCATTTGCCTGGTAAAAGCCCAGCCTCACTCCTCATTTTCTTTTCTCCTTTGGGTGTTTTTTCCAGCTCTTCCGTGTGTTTAATTTTTCTTTTTTCTTTTTCTTTTTCTTTCTTTCTTTTTTTTTTTTTTTTTTTTTTTTTTTTGGTTATGTGAAGCAAAGACTATCTTGCAAAGTAAGCAGAAGGTTGTGTGTTTTCTAAGTTTTTAAATGAGGTACGGCAGTCAGTCCTGTGGTCCCTGGCCCCTGGTGAGGGATATAATTTTATCTTAGTGTTGGGGGAGGGAGCTGACTGCCGTTTTGATTCTGAAATATACCCAGTGTTAAAATCATCAATGTTTTACCTCTCAGGTGAAAGAAATTCCTGGAATAAAAATATTCCAGATAAATGCCCCAATTTACTATGCAAACAGTGACTTGTATAGCAACGCATTAAAAAGAAAGGTGAGATACTTTTTGTTTATTCATTAGGAGTAATAAATAAAAATAAAAACAAACTTTTAATTTTTAATTAGAAATTAAAATTTGATTCTTTCTGAGGAGAGCATTGTGGGTTGAAAGAGATTAAAAGATCACTCCTCCACCTCAGTATACTTAAAATACACAGAAAATTTACTGTTTAAACTTTTGGGGTTTTTTTTCCCCCTTTCATTTTTGTTTTTCAAGACAGGGTTTCTTTGTGTAGCCCTAGCTGTCCCATAGTAACTCACTCTGTAGACCTCTTGAACTCACAGAGAAATACCTGCCTCTGCCTCCCTAGTGCTGGGATGAAAAGTGTATGCCACCACTGCTAGGCTATTTTAGACATTTTTAAGTGTACCACCAGTGTCTGGCATTCAATCCATTCCCATGGTTAGGCAATCGTTACTACTGTTCATTCATTTGCATATGTATATATTACCTTTTTAAAGAAAGGAAAAGACAGTCTTACTCTAAGCCCCTGTGGGTCATGATTAAAACTCAACCTCCACTACCCAAAAAGACAACTTTAAGAATCTCAGAATTTTATATTTAGTAAATACCACTGTAGTTTTTTCAGTTCTTTAGTGTATGCTAGTCTTTTTCCCCCTTTTGATTTTTCAAGACAGGGTTTCTCTGTAGCTTTGGGGCTTGTCCTGGAACTCACTCTGTAGAGCAGGCTGGCCTTGAACTCACAGAGATCCACCTGCCTCTGCCTCCCAAGTGCTGGGAATAATGGCGTGCTGCCATCACCACGCAGCTGTGTCTGCAAGTCTTGAATAAAGAGTCAGACCAAGACAAACAACTAATGGTTGTAACTCAGTTCAGGGCAGCTAAGGGAAAGATAGAACAAGGTACAGAAAGCAGTTGGCCAGGGTAGAGCTGAAGATTTAGTGGCATTTGGGCGGGTCCTTGGGAGCTAAGAAATGACTCTGCATATGTTGTCTTTGTAAAGACTGGAGTGAATCCAGCACTTATAATGGGAGCAAGAAGAAAGGCCATGAGGAAGTACGCGAAGGAAGTTGGAAATGCCAATGTGGCCAATGCTACTGTTGTCAAAGTGGTAAATGAACTTGTAATTTCCCTTTTTCTCTTGATCTGCCTGTCCTCCATCTTCCCGAGTTCATGAGTAAAGCTCTAGGTTTCCTCTGTGTGTGACAAAGCTGGGTGTGCTGGGTCATGTCAGGAGGCAGAGGCCAGCCTGCAATGTATGAGACCCTGCCTCAAAGACAAAGCAAACAAGAGTGTGATAGTCAGCCATGAGCATGCTCATGAAAGAGGCAGCGGAAGTACTATTAAAAATTAAAATAACACAGTGCCTTAATGAACTCAACCGCCACACTTTGTTGTTCAGCTCAGAGTTAAAAACTCAAAGGCTAGTTTTTGCTGTTTAGACTTCTGGTAACTTGTGGCCTATTATGCTGAAGTTAATAGACCATTTTCTAAATAGGAGAAAAGTGGGGACAATGACTAGGAAATATAAAGAGTGCTGGATTAAAATAAAGTCGGGGGAGAAACTGTTTTGAGAACACATGGACTTATTTTCCATTATAAATCTTTCTCTTAGAAAAACAAAAAGTGAGTAGTTTTAACAAATCATGGCTTATGGTGCTGGAGAGGTGGCTCAACAGTTAAAAGTATTAGCTGCTCTTCTAGATGACCTGAGTTTGACCCCAGCACCCACATGGTAGCTTGCAACTTTAACACCAATTCTAAGGGATCTGATGCCCTCTCCTGGCCCTCATGGGCACTACATGCATGTGATGCACAGACACACCTGCAGACACATCACTCGTACACACAAAACAAATAACATTAATTTTAAAGACCGATAAAAGAATATTTATGGTCTCATTTTTGACATAGGATGCAGAAATAGATGGAGAAGATGCTAAGAAGCCTGAAGAAGAAGATGATGAAGTAAAATATCCCCCAATAGTCATCAAAACAACATTTCCTGAAGAGATGCAGAGATTTATGCCCCAGGGGGAAAATGTTCACACAGTCATTCTTGACTTTACACAAGTCAATTTTATCGATTCTGTTGGAGTAAAAACTCTGGCTGGGGTAAGTATTGCCTGGAGCAAGTATTCAGCATCTGTACACCCAGCATTACCACCACCTCAGGGACAGGGACCAGAGTCCCTTTTCAATTCTTACTTTGTCATTGTTTTTGAAACTTTTGATTATGGGCATTTTTTAATATTGAGTCTAGGATAATGATGTTCATGTAACAGCTCTCACTCTACTTCCACAATTACCAGTTTATGGCCAGTCTGACTTCATGGATTCCCAACACTACTTTCTCTTATTGTGAAGCATGTCCTAGATGTCACATTATCTGTACACATCTTAGAATCTATCATTATCATCTTTATTACACCAAAATAAAATTGAATAAGGATTTGATACTTAGTTGTTATTGTCTGTATAAGAACCAAGTAAGTACAAAATTACTTTTAGTTTATTAGCTTAAAGGTGCATAATTGCTAAAGCTAAGTAGCATGGATAAATGAATTTGAGTGTATCATATCTTTAATACATATTGGGAGAAAATGACTTGCAAGAAAAGTTAAACTTTGTTTCAATGTTGTTGCAGATTGTGAAGGAATATGGAGATGTTGGTATTTATGTGTACTTAGCCGGATGCAGCCGTGAGTACACCTTAGAATGGGAAAGCCTTTTTTTTTAGATGTATTCATTTTATGTGTATTTATGTTTTGCTGGGTGCCTGCAGGGGTTGGAGAAGGGGGTCAGAACCAGGAGAAGTGAATTATGAATTGCTGGGAACAACTGTACTGATGCTGAGATCTAAACATGGGTCATCTTAAAATGCTTTTAGCTGCTGAGCTGTCTCTCCAGCCCTGGACAGGGAAAGTTTTAATATTCTAGTCTTTTGTTTGTTTGTTTGTTTTTTGAAACCAGAACATTTATTTTATGACTGACTGAAATCCTTAAGATGAGCTGGATGCTGCAACAGCTGCCCTCTTGGGTTTAGGTGTTGTCCCTTCACGGAATCCATGTCTGAATCTTCTATAGACAATCTTTAGGTGCCTCATACACCCAGTCCCGGTAGTGTTTCACCTCTTAGTCTTAGCACTCCAGTTATACTTTCTCCTGCGCTTGGCAGGGTAGCCATATTTGCCACAGGTGGACTTGTGAAGGTGGTAGGCCTTGGAGCCACAGCTGCGGCACAACGTGTGCGTCTTATTGCGACGCCAAAGGATGACGTTCCTTTAGTCATCTTGCTTCTGCCGCTGAGGCCAAAGAGACCAGAAGACCTTTTGTTTGATTTTTTTGTTTTTATTTTGTTTTTAGAATTAACTGCACTTGTACTTTTTCCCTATAATTTAAACTTTTTTATAGAATAAAAAGATTCCTCCTCTGAAAAATCACTGTAAAACCAGTTTTGAAATCAGCTAGTTGTAGGCATTGCGATGGCCTTCTGGCCTAGAGTTGGAGGGCGGGAGTTGGCCAGAGTTTACTATTTTTGTAGCTACCACACACAAGTCATAATTCTAGAAATCATTCCACTTGTTAGGGTTTACATACAATGGAATAGGTTTTCTACTTTTGTTTTATATTATATTTTTGTTAAGATGGTGCTTAAAAACAAAATCCACATAATGACATTTGTGAAAACACAAATGCTAGGAGCACATTTCAAATCACCTGGGAGAGAAGAGGTCCTCACAGATGAGACAGTGGATTTGGAAAATGGAGCAAGCCCTATGGAGAGCAAACAATAGCTTTCAAAGTCACAAATTCAGCAAATCTGAATCTTACTGCAACATACAAAATGACACATGCTATTTGTTCATTACACCATATTCTATAGAAACAAAAGGCTAGAAAAATCTTAAGTGTCAAAAGAAAAGGAACCCTCAGGAGAAAGAGGGAGGTAGTTTGAGGCCAACCTAGTCTCAGGATAGCCAGGGGTACATAAACAGCCCATAAAAAAAAAAAAAAACAAAAAACAAAAAAAACAAAAAAACAACAACACGGGGGTGGGATCCAATGAATAAATGAAAGTAAGTACAGCTATATACTAGACTGTCGGGCAAGGATAAATAGTTCCTAGACCTAGAGATAGAGCTTAGTTGGTAGAGTGTTTGCCTGCATGCATAAGGGACTGGGTTCAGTCACCAGCAGAAATAAAAATAAATGCAGCACAATCCAGAACTATAGGGAGCCAGTGTGTGTTGGATTTGGGACAAGGAAAGAGGGAACTTGTTTTCTTTTTGAAACAGACTTGCTCAGGCTCTCCTCAAACTTTGTAAGTAATCCTTTTTGCCTCAGCCTGCCTAGAGACCAGACTATAGGCACACACCACTGTGCCTAGCCATAATATATATTTACATTTACATTTTTATAGAGAAATCATGGAAGACTATACTAGAAAGAAAGAAAATAACTCAAATAGCATTTGAATATCTTAAACTAGGTGATGGGTAGGGTGTGGTGGTGCACACCTTTAATCCCAGCACTTAAGTGACAGAAGCAAGCAGATTTCTGTAAATTTGAGGACAGCCTGGTCTACATACAGTTCTAGGCTAGCCAGGGATACATGGTAGTAATACTGGTGTAAACCCCAGTACTTGGGAAGAGGAGGCAAGTTCAAGGCCAGCCTAGGTTACATGAAAACCTGTCTCTAAATTACCAAATTAATTTTTTAAACTATGAACAAATTTTTTCAGTGTTTGAAATCAAAACATGGAATGTGAAATTTCTCTCTCTTCTTTTTTTGTATAGCACAAGTTGTGAATGACCTCACCCGCAACCGTTTTTTTGAAAATCCCGCCTTAAAAGAGCTTCTATTCCACAGTATTCATGACGCAGTCTTAGGCAGCCAGGTCCGAGAGGCGATGGCCGAGCAAGAAACCTCAGCTCCTTCTCTCCAGGATGATATGGAGCCCAATGCCACACCCACACCTGAGGCATAAAGGACCCCCGGGGTTGTGTGACTCTCCTGAATTGTAAGCTTACACACTTTAAGTGCGAGGCTGTAGGTTTTTTTTTCTCCTCCCCACCCCAGGAAATGTTAGGAGTTAAGGCTTGACTTGGAGGGTGAATGATACACACATAGCAAAATGTATCTCATACTTGTGCTGCTTTAATTGAATATTTCAAAGATGAACTGACCTTTTGCACTTATGCAGTGACATTTCTATTATACTTTAGTGCTATCTTTTGTTTTTTTTTTAAATCTCATTTCTGAGTCATTATCTGTAACCTTTAGAAACTAATCACAAGAAACTACAAAATTAGCAAATACCTTGAAATCTGTATATAAAACATCAATAACGTCTAATTTCAAAATCTCATTTATTAGTGTACTACTCAATCTTTAAAAAGAGAAAAGAGAAATGGCTCAAAAGCTAGTCTTAAACCATTCTTTACAAAGTTCCTTCTAATTGCAGGGACACCCACCTACACACCAATCTCAAAACACTGAATTGTCTTGGCCATTACATTTCCAAGATGAGATTTTATATTTTGCTCCCACAGCTTCTGGTTCTGGGAAAAGCCATGCTTTCCTTTACTAAGGAGTTTGGTCCAGCTGATGTTGCTTTGTTCCCTCCAATATTCTTCATCTTCATCTCTACTTCCAGAGGCATTTCTTCTGGTTCACGATCAGTCTTCACTGGAAGCTGCTGCTACTTTGAAAGGGTATTTGAGCAAGAGTTGGAATGTTTCCTTAGACTTATTTGATGGAAATGGCTGATGCTTCCTTTGAATTCTGACCACCTAGGGCAAATGCAAACTTGGAGATGGTTATGAGCTGTGTTGGGAGGTCTGCAGCAGCATCTTCCTCAATTAGTGTTTTTTAGCACTTCTATTGGGAACCCCCCCCCCCATCCATTACTGGAAGAAGGTTGTTTTCACAGGTTTTTCTGCTTCTTCGGGTCCTCCAACAGCTCCAGCTTGCTGAGGCTTGTCAGGGTCCTCTTCACCTGCCTCACCCCTTATATTGCTTAAAATGTACTGTCAACTAGGTGGTTAGTGGTTCCTTAGTTTTGTACTTGTTTGGGAACAGACTGTCTATAACCAGTTTCCTTATAGAAGAGGAAATTTAAAATGTTCTAGAAGTTCTGGTTTTAAAATAATTTATCATTACAGAATTGATGTAAGTGCATTATGTTTAAGTCGAGAAATAGATGACGAAGAAGAAAACAAGACATCTCCTCCCCACTTAGAGATGACCACCACTGGAACTTTAATGAGTATCCCTCCAGGGGTTTTCCTTTGTGTGTGTATACATACATACTTATATATCCTAACAAAAATAAGCTCAGGTTTGCATGATATTTCATAGTCCATCCTTTTAGTTGGCATTCTCCACATTTTATTCCAGTATTCAGGTTTCCTCTTGTTCTCTAATTAGTTGATTTGTCTGAAGTATTAATTCTACGTGTGCCTTGAGTCTGTTTCAAATTATATATGACTTGGACATTTCTATTGAATACCACTTTGTGAATGTGTCTAGTTGCTTCTCCCAGGGTTGTTGGGCTTACTCTGCTATTCCCCAAATTATCTACCTTAATTCAAGACAGGTGGATACGAGTTAAGCATTTTATGCTAATACATACCAAATACTTGTTTCATATTGCACGACTCAGAATGTCTAGCCTGCCTACCACTTACAGTGTGCAGATAAACTAGCCAGTTTGACTCTTAAACTGGTGTTCTGCTTTGTATATTATTCATATGATGCTTTTTTGACATTAAATGTCATTTCTCATTAGCCATTGAGCCAGAAATTGTAATACTGGTGACAGTCCTCACCGAAGTGAATGAATGATTTTATTAGTTTGTCCATTTCTGTCTAGCTCTTTTATTTCTCTTGCTGGTCAATCTATGTAAACTGGCTTTCTCTCCTCAACTTGAACAATTTGGTCATCTTTAAATATAGCTGAATGTCCATTTAATTATCAACTTCAAAGTAGACGTGGTAATTTTTATAATTTTAATGTGCTTTATGACATTGTATTCTTTGTGATGCTCAAAATGTCACAGTTGTGACCAGTAAGCTTCAATATGAATTCTGCTTTTGTTGTTGATTATGAAATAGCATTAAAAACCTTTAAGGTCTTTGAAAGCTAACCTCCTAGGGATAGTTGGCTATCTTCCTCAGAAGCCTGTAAGTTATGTTAATGATTCATTACATGTCCTATGAGTATAAAACTTCTCTCACATTATTTATGTTTGGAGGCTAAGGAGAACCTTTAAGCCAATTTCATCTTGTTTTTTGTTATTAGAACCTCAAATTCACTATATAGCCAAGGTTGGTTTTAAAGTCATAATCCTCCTCTTTAAGCCCCATGAGTACGGGTTCTAGGTATATGCCATCATTCCTAGCTTTTTCTTACACTTCTAACATCAGTTTATTCTCATAAATCAAAGCATAGGCCAACCTGTGAAGTTCTTTCTGCTTAAGAGTTGTTGGGGTTTTGTTTGTTGTGTGTTTTGTTTTTAGATAGGTCTCTAGAACTGTGTAGCTGAGGATGACCTTGAACTCATGCCCCTCCTGCTTAAGTAGTGCTAGGATTAGAGGCTTGGGCCACCACACCCAGTTAAGAGATGCTGTTAAGAATTTGTGATTTTAACTTTGTTGTTGTTTGCCATGCTTTCTTATTGTCACTTTATGTTGGTGTTCATGAAGATACTGCTAGGAGGAAAGTGGTCAGATCCCATTAGAAATGTATTAATATAGGATGTTCAATTTCTCAGTAACTTCACCAACCACTCAATGTTGACTGCTTCCTTCTAGTCCTTTACCCCAGCCTGCACAAAACAGATTCACACACAAGATCTGATACATCTGCATCTAACAGACTGCCTTCTGAAAGAGCACATAGTTACAGAACTGAAGCTTACAGTAGAAGCCTCTGTATAAGGGCCTACATCATTCTGGCCATTTAGCTTTCAATATTACAGAACAGTCCTAGTGGCAGATAAGAAAGTAATGTTCACCAAAGAGCATTTTATCTACATCTAACCGGCTTCTGTTCTCCAGTCTACCATTTGTAACTTTTAAAAGTAGAATCCTGTGTACATAAAAAACACCCCCCCCCAGGTTGGAAAATATAGTTTTGTTTTATTATGCATCTGAAAATGTTAAATATTTCATCCCACCTATATGTAAATACATTCAAGTATTTTACTCAGAATTGTTTCACATGGAAATTTTGACTTTATTCTTCACCTTTAACTCTTCCCTCTCTTCCAGGAAGTCAATATATAATATAAGCCTGTCTATTCTCTGTGGGCCTTAGTATCCATTACTGCATCTCTTACTATGCTTTTGCATCCTGGCAGTGGCTCAGTGGGTAAAGGTATAAGCTAAACCTGATGACTGAAGTTCAGTCCCCAGGACCAGCTTCTCCCAAGGAGTTCTCTGGCCCATACATGTATGTACATCGTTCGTGCATGTGTGCTCACGTGCACACACATACCCATACACACAAATAACTTTTAAAACAGTAAAAATGGGGACTAGAGAGATGGCTCAGTGGTTAAAAGCACTGGCTGTTCTTCTAGAGGAACTGGGTTCAATTCCCAGCACACACACATGCAGTTCACAACTGTTTACAAACTCAGTTCCAGGGCACCTAACATCCTCATACTTATAGGCAAAACACCAATGCACATAAAATAACTTTAATGTAAAAAATAATGGATATAATAGGCAATGACAAATATAGGACTTAAGACTTCAACCTGCCTCATTTTATGGCTCTGTACAGGAAGGACGCCCAGGAAGCTCTCAGAGAAATTGCTGCACTCAAATCCTATATTACTATATATGCATGATTAGAATGCATTTTTTTAAACCAAAGATGAGGGTCCAAGATACTCCAATACATGGCCATAGACATTGAATCTGTATAAGCCTGTAGCAGCTGATGATGGATTCCAACTGCCAATGTCCCAGAAAAACAGTTGATCCTCCTCGAGGCCTGGGAGATGCTCATTTTATAGTTTTCAGTGTCTAGAATGTCTATTCCATGTGATTTCATCCTGTACGCTTACCTGTTCAATGGAGAAAAGAGGCACTTGCCTCCGAGTACTCAGAAGAAGTGAGTCTGGCCTCTTGCGTGCAACAAGGGTGAAAAACCCAGAGTCTTCCCTGGGATGATGGAGGTGCACTCTATGTGATTGTGTGTGTGTGGGGGTGCCCTTTGGTGGGCATCAGAGAGAGAAGGCTCTTTGGAAGGTGGTTAAGTCCTTAACTAGTGCCTTCCTCTTTAAAGACAGCCAATCAATTTAAATTCTAAATTGAAACAACTTCCTTGAGCCTGTACGCTTCCATGAGTACAAAACACTGCTGTCTTTAGTGTTTAAAGAATATTTTTATAGGATTCAGTATATCGAGCTTCTTGACAATGTTTTGCATGTTGATAAAAGTTGGAGAACTGATAATGCATTATCTAATTCTCCAAATACATTGCCAACTAAAAGACAGACCTCAACCACTCCCCCCCCAGCAAAACTGTCCAAAGTCAGTATTGCACCATACTTTACACTGACTTGGACTGAATCAAGTGAATATGCTAATGGCACACATCTCCAATAACTGAGGAGTTAGCTTTCCTGTGAATGTAACTTCAGAATTGTTTGCTCTGTCTCATAATTCAAGCAAGGCTACAGCAGGATTATAAAGAATACTTTTTCTAGTCACAATCAAGGAAAAGGCCACACTGATTGTTTATGAACGAAAGGCCCTTTCTACTTGGAAACTTTCATAAGGTTAAAATTTCAGTTAACAGCCACTTTTCTCTGTTCTCGATTTCTGACTTAAAAATGCACACAGCCTTTGCTGTTTGCAATTTACTTGTGAATATTACTCTTCAATAAAAATACTGTTTATTGTGTTTATGCCTCAGTATTTAGGAGGGTAAGACTTGGGGGCTGGAAGACAGCTCATTCCACAAAGAATTTCTTGTGTAAGCATGAAGACCCCAATCTAATCCACAGACTCCATTTTAAAGATCTGGGACCTCCCTG